GCACAGAAATGGGCTACAGGTGCCGCATTCCCCAGGTCAAGTCACTTTTGAAGCAGCTGACATGGCACCCCTGACATGCAAAATTTGCTTTCATCCAAAAAAAGTACTTTGGACCACTGAGCAACAGTCCAGTGCTGCTTCTCTGTTAGCCCAGGTCAGTTTCTGGTTCTTCTGCAGCTAAAGACTGAAAGAAATACAATGACGTCAAGGCCATTATGTGTTGTGTTATCAAGGCAGAGGTGATCCAAGTTAACCATTATGCTTTCTCCAATGGTAGAGCAGCCTCGACTATGTCCAGATATACCTTCAGATGAACAAATCATGCTGCAATACCATATAATACTGTTCACAGGGTTTAAAGTAGGCCTATACTTGTGTCTCAAATGCTCTTCATTACATTTAAAGCAGAGAGAAGCAAACAAAGGGAGCCATGTACATGTGTTTTGGAAGTTTTGATGACTTCTTACAAGCAACTCTATAAATCATCATGGATTAATGAATGGGAGGAAAAAAGAACCAGTAGAGCCTTTCAACATGTGTAGCTCATTAGAGTCGGTGGTTCTTTCTAAACATAAATAACCTCTGATCTCACTAATATGTACTAGCACTTTGGGAATTTATCAAATTACACAACAGGGAAAAGGGGGCATTTGTTTATTTCTTTATTTTATTGTTTATGCATTTGGCCCTTCTTGCTCACTGCAGAGGTTTGTTTCCATTTGTGATCAGTGAGTAATCATCATAGCATAATTATTTTAGCATAGCTTAAATGGAGACTGATGCACTCAGACTCTTAATAATGGAAAACAAAATGCCCCCCACTGTTGTTTTGTGCTATGTGGATACCAGTAGACAACGGAAGAAGAGTGTCATTCTGAAGTTATGCAAGGAAAGACGAGTAAAAGACGAGGCATCCCTATGCATAAAGAGGTGCCTATAGTACAACTGGCACTGATTTTTGGGCTGATTTAAATTCTGATCTGACCTTTCACATACACTGAGCACATTTAACACCAACCTAGATTACCATACCTGGGTAAACATTGGGCCAATTAGAGTTCAGATTCTGTCTTTCTTGAGGAACGAGGCTAAATGCAGGACTGTAATGTGCGTGTGTATGTACATTCGTCTCAGAATATTTCCATATGGAAAATGTACAAATGAATAAAGGGGTTTTTAGGGGAGCAGTTGACCACAAAACAGCTGGAAAAATCTCTTCAGCACTTCTTCAACAAACAACTCCAATTCCTTCGATTCTCCCTGAGGAGATTTACCTCAAGTTCCATCCCTCCCCCTGCTTCTGCAGTCTGATTGCTGTGGACCTTTATGTATAATGAGGCAGATCTGTAATGGCAGGTTATAGATACAAATATAACATTTCTGCTGCGTATGATTCAGTAGTTTTCTGTCTCTTTTACCTCATTTTACACACTTATTCTTTAACTCGCGTATAAAAGCTTCTTGTAGTTGTCCCTGGGTTGTTGCCTTATTTACATTTTTATTCACAAATGGATCTGGTTTGTTTTTAGTCTCTGAGTGTATTATTTAGTTTGCACTGATTCATTTGAATGCAGGGCCATGTAATTATGCGTTCTTCCAGGGATCAACACGGCTCCTAGAATTGCGTCATGAAGCTTTTTTAACTTAATGGACTTGTAAATACAGAGGTTTATAGAACTGGGCAGTAGAGCAGCTATCAGAGAGGCTGGTGTTAGGTCACCATTGGACTGATTTCCTGGAACATGTGTGTGTGATAAAGGAAAACCTCAAAGGGACCAAAGTCTTCATTAGCCATCTGACGCATCAGGGAGCTTGTAACCAAAACGGATTTGTATTTCTTCATGCTTGTCTAATCTATCAGTTGTATTCCATGTGTTTAAGTGCACCTGTTGGTTGTTGCATTCAATTTAGGGCTTAAGATCGCGGGACAGTGATTGCTTTTAACGTTTTATGGCAATCCCTTATTGTCATCTGGCCCTCATTAATGGGGTTTCCACCCCAGTGACTGCATGTAAGCTTAAAAAGTTGGATATAAGTTGTCCATAAGTCTTCGAAAGCAACAAGACTGTGTTGTTTGAGAAACAGACCCAAATTTAAACTGTAAAAATGAACGAGTCATTTTTTAGTCAGAACTTTTCAATGAATCACTGGATAGAGTTCACAAAACAGGTCTGGAAGATTCATTCATTAGTTAAACTCATCTGACTCATCCAACCAGTCACAACAATTCACAGCTGACTGAAATTAAGTTGTTCACTCTATTCCACACACACTGATGTTGAATGGTTTCAGTGCAAATAAACTACTTTTATATATTTTATATGTACTTTTATTGACATATTTCTGGTACTTTTTTAAGCTTTAATCATAGCAGAATGTCTTTAGAATTTCACCATTTGAGGATGAAAGTCAGGTTTGGAATGAGATGAGGGTGAGTAAAAGATGACAGAATATTTGCTTCAACTTGAATTTTTGCTTCAAGTTGCTTTTTTGTACGCACACTCTGCTTTTTGTGTGTGTGCAGATATTCTGTAGAACATAATGCCAGTGTATTCTGTTTCACGGCCCCACTGGCTGTGTTCCTCCAGCATCTGTATCTTTTATGATCGTCTTCCTCCAAAGCTTCAGTAATTGAGTCTTATTGCCCAGCAGAAAATACCATGGATTAATGATGAAACAACTGGTCTCTCGTAATTCTTCCCTAAAAAGATTAGAACTGGCCCAGAGTTCTAGTTCATGGAAGGTTCATGGCATTTAAGTCAGTGCCCATTTTATCCTTGCCAAGCTGATGGCATGAATTCAGTCTAACCACAAAGGAACCGTGTGCATTTACTTAAAACACCCGCCCAAGGGCGACATGATGACTTCAGAAGTATTTATGATGCATCCTCTAAGTGAAAAGTCTGGTGTAGGTGTGTAACTCATAGCATAATTCTAAGTCACAGTTTAGGCAGTATGATCCTTTTATGTGAGCTTAACCTGAACATTTGAAAACTATGAAAAATTCAGGAAGCTAACAATACTAAGCAATAATAGACCCCTGTTATTAAGATCATTAGCAGGGCAAAAGTGGGGGAAGTTCTCCAGGAGCTGGCATTGTTCCATCCTCTGGGGTTTAAGAGACAGGCTAAGTGTGGAGAGAGAGAGAGAGAGAGAGTTTGTGTGTGTGAGAGAGAGAGAGACGGCCCCTTTTAGTGGATATCTGTGGTAGGAACATTGGGGGAACCAGGTTCAAAGGGGTATAGGGCGTCTGAGAAGAAGTACTGAAGACCATAAAATTAGAGCACTCTATAAAGAATATATTCTAGTGGAATAACTTCCAGTGCAGTGGGAAACAAGACTCTTTTTCATTCTCTCACATACTACTTTTCTCCACCCCAGCTCATGTTCTGGTCTGTTCTGCATCTGTGGTGATTTTTTTTTTAATGGGGTATGAGGGAGAGCTAATATTCTACAGGAACTTTGCTTCTTGGCATCAATGAGATGGCAGGGCACACATCCGTGCGGTATTCCCTTATTACGTCATGTTCACAGACAAATATCAGACAGAGACTATTTGCCAGGGATTTAATGTTGTCAATAACACATGTGAGCATGTTGAAAGTTTTGTGTTGTGTGGGGTGGAGTGCTTGAGTGTCTGTAGTTTGTGGGTATATGTGTTTGCTTAAGAGCCATATGGTGAAGTGAAAGCACCCTGGCAGTGTCTGTAGAGTGTCTGTAAAAATGATGAAAGAAGGCTGTAAATCCAACAAGGCCAAGCAAACGAGGCTTTCCGAGGCTTTGAGAATCCATCTTCATACATCAGATATGACATCACCCTTTTTTCCACAAAATGTTTGCCGTTTGTTTTTCGTGGAATGTGTGGTTCATTAATGCCTTGGGCTTTATGAAAGTGGACAGAGTATATAAGCGTGAGCTCACTGCTGTTCACCCTCTGACTCTCTCTACAGGGGCCTTCACAGGAAAGAGAACGAGTAGCACATCCTGATGCCGAAGCAGAGCAGCTCCTGCTCGGTCACACGACCTTTCACGACCTTTCGTCATCACTCAGACATCCTCTTTAGGTAATCGGCATGTGGAGCTGAGACCTGTCTCTGAGAATTAAGAACTCCAGTATAAAGAAAGCACCCTGTTTGCAGTGGCCTGTCAGACACACCTCCAAGACAAATTGAAGAGAGAAGCGTGCAGAGTGACCATCTGCAGTGTCTGCTTTTGTCTAAAGAGAGGACGGCACCATTTGTGGTTTTGCAATCTGGCATAACACACAAGTGTGTCATTACAAAAGAGAGAAAAATACAAGCATTTCTAAACAAGTTACCAATAAAGGAACAATGAAAATGTATTTATACAAAAAAAATATATATACACAAAAAATCTGTTTCCACCCATTTCATTTGTCACAATAATAACGGGATTCATTCTTGATTCTAGATGTAATGGGTTTCCAGAGTTTCAACTCAGCAAATAAACGTACGTTTTTAATAGTTTATTGGCTTGGTTGATTTTGTTTTTACAGTGCAAAGGATCAGATTTCCATTTATATTATTTTCAGCATCTTCGAGGCAGTGAAATTTAAATGTTGCACTTGATTTTTCTATTGTTTTGAACACACAAAACTAGACAAACTATTCTATTACCGTGCGATGATCAGCCAGTTGTTTTATAGTCAAGCTTACATACTTTATTATTACATAATGTAATAATAAAATTAGCATCATTTATTTATTTTTTAAAAGAGGTTTTAATCGTTTTTTAATACCATGTTTGTCTTCATCCACTCAATATGTTTAATATAAATTGTCTAGTGTCATTCTGTAATTTTTATTTGAGCATGGTCCAGTGTAAATGTAACGTGTGTTTTGTAGCTTTCAGGGGCTTTTAAAACTAATGCAGTCCTTTAATGACAGCCCCTATAATGTTTGCTGCCTTTTAAGTGAAGGAGTGACGGGCTTGTAATTTGAGAGTCTGACCGGGGGTATTATTACCTAAACCAGCAGAGAGTCTGAAAGGTCCAGATGTTGAAACAGACACAAGGAAGGACACGGCGAGGATTTATGTGGCTCACGCCTGTTGATTTCGCCAAAGACCACAGGAAAGGGCACTGGAAAGTTGCATTCCCAAAGTGCGGACGTTTCAGTGTGATTTAGCTGTTTTCGTGTCGGGATTACTCGGCATTTCACGCTCTGGACATGCGTGGGGCTGGAGCAGGGGGGCGTGAGTGAAGTTTGAAGAGCCGTGCTGAAGGTAGGCTACTATTGACTGTGATAAGGCAGAGGTGGTTGATGATGGCTTTCCCTCTGTTCATCCTGACAGCCTGCCTGGTCTCACTGCGTCTTGGAGGAGCTTTCTTTTCGGGACCCCTCCACCCGGAGATGTCCAACGGCACTTTTCATCATTATTTCGTGCCGGACGGTTATTACGAAGATAACGACGATCCAGAGAAATGCCAGATGCTGTTCAAAATGACCGACAATCGCAAATGCACCCTGGACGAGGACCAGGACTCAGTGATCCGGGACGATTTCACCATCATCAAGCGGCACATCGAGGACGCGGCGCGTGTCCTCGAGGGCATTGGGAAGAGCATATCCTTCGATCTGGACGGAGAAGACAGCTATGGGAAATATCTGAGACGGGAGACGACCCAGATCACCGAGGCGTTTTCCAGCTCCGAGAAGTCTCTGCTGGAGCTGGAGGTGAAATTCAAACAGAGTCAGGAAAACGAGCTGAAAGAAGAGCACAAGATCAGCGACGACTTCCTCAACATGATCGTGCACACGCGCGACGTGTTGAAGGAGACACTGGACATCTCGCTGGGACTGAAGGACAAGCACGAGCTGTTGTCACTCATCATCCGGAGTCACGGGACCCGGTTAAGCCGCCTGAAGAACGACTATATGAAGGTGTAGAGGACTGTTTGTCTGTCCTCAGTAAACAGGCAAATCTCAATCTGTCTCTAGCCTATGGCAAGGCGTTTTAACATTCATTTCTTAAAATTAACTAGTATGCCTACTGTTGTACTTATTTTTGGAAGGCCAAATTAGCCTACTAAAAGCACCAACTGTTATATTTTTAGTTTGCATAGAAACCATTCATTATAGGTATCGATTATTAAAAAGTCTCAAACAGTAGGCTAACTATCGAAATAGTCCTGCTTTATATGTCTGTAACCTACTGTAATTATTCAAGGCAAATACCTATCCTGAGACACAGTTGTTAGCAGCTACAAGTAGCCTATACAATCTCACTAGTTTGAGCAAACACTGGCCTAATAAATGGTTACAGTTTGTATTTAATTATTAGCATATTAAACTAGAATATAGGCTAGGCTATTTCATTTACAAGAACAAAAGGAATAGTTATTATTAAACTATAGGTAGTATATAATAGCAAAACAACAACAACAACAAAAACTCACTAGTCAAAAGTGAAAAGTTGATATCCACAGAACCGCAGATCCCTGTAGAATTCACTGGAGGAAAATCAGAAAATATTCATAATAGTCACTATCACGATAGTGAGTAGAAAATAATAAAAAATGTACAATTTATTAGTAACTAAAAATAAGTACTAGAAACAAAAATATAGGCTACTACTCATTTTTAAGGAATAATGTTTTTCTCTGTAGCTATTGTCAAAAATGATGCAGCTATTTTGCAATAAATGAAAGCCAGTAGTCACTTAATAGCAGCAATCATATATACATGATGGACAGCCATTAAATGCTTTAAACTTGGCAATATTACTGCCATTGAGTCTTTAATGACATTTGCAGCTAATTGTAATATGACTGGGATCTCAGTCTAACCAATATGGAGGTTTTACCTCTAAGAGGAGACATACAAAACACTGAGTTAGTTTCAGTGTTAGGCTTCTTACTATTTTCTCAGATAATGGCTGTTTGTGGAAACATTTTGCTCATTTGCATTGGCATTACTTGAATGTTTCAGAGAAAATTCATGTTGGCTAAACAGAAGGAATATAGTTTTCATTGTACAAATGTTATCTGTCATAATCATATTTACATTCTTTTAAGAGCATGTACATGGAATAGTTTTTTTAAAAACATTCAGTCTGACAATCCTCCAAAAGATGTATGGCATGAACATATTAAAAACATACATTTTATTATGATTGCTTTCTATGATATATTCGGAGGAACACATTTGCTCTTCCTTGTACATTTTTTGTTTTGTGTGTCCTAAGAAATCTATATATTTTATAACAAGCTTTTAAAATATTAAACTGTGAGTGTTTATATTTATGAAAAAGCTTAACAGTATTCATTTTATGAAACTATGCACGTTGCATCAAGTATTCTTGTGATCCTCTGAGAAGTAATGGGAAAAGAACCATCTGGGATGACATATTCCAGACAAACCAAGATGACTGCGGGCAGGAATATTGGACATAAAGCGTGAAGTTCCATGAGATATATGTTGTGTATATTGCTTTTGTAATAAAAATATTCAAGGTTTGTGTGTGTTTGTGTGCTAGAAGACACATTATTTTAAAAATATAACATGTCAAAAAAGATTTGAAGAAATTGTTCACAGAAAATAGAAAGTTACCTTTATGTTGTTCCAAATCTATTACTTCTTTCTTCTTTGATCTTTCTTTCTGATTCACAAAAATGATTAATTCTCAAATTGGTCTGATCTGGTTTTCAAGAACGACTCAATGATCCAGTTAACGGCTTACTGTAGAGGGCGATTGTTAGTGAATTGTGAATTTTGGTCTGTTTTGTAAATCTTTGTTTTGTAATATTTATGATACATTTATTGTGCTTCTGAGTTTATTTTAAATATTTGAAGCTTTCCAAAATAATTCAAACATTTATGTCAACGCTATTCAGAGTTCTTAAAACTTTAAATTTGCAATTTATCAATTAACAGATAAATAAGACAATATTCAGAAATACAATATAGTTTTGCCATAAACTATTTTGTGATAGGCTAAATGATTTTGAATGCACCGTTTAATGCAGAACTATCAAGGAATTAGTAGGCATGCAGGTCTCACTTAGCCTAATGTTAAAACAGCTGTTGCAGGACACCAACCTTCCAGATGCAATGGGAGTTCTCCTCATAAACATGCATTACAAGACAGCCTGAGATTGGAAAATGTTGCTATAGTGGGTGATCTTTCAATTTGTGTGTGTGCGTGTGTGTGTGTTTGTAAATCAAAGCCAATGAATTCAGAAATACAATAGAGACCTATTTGTAGACCTCTGGCTAAATTGTTGAGATTGGTATGTTGTGTACTGTATGTTGTGTTTTTATATATATATATATATATTTTATTTATTTATTTATTTTACATAAAAGTTGATTCAACATTATTGTGTAATCAGAAACGATCTTCAGCACAATCATTACTGCTGGTCTTCAAATAACCTTACTTTAGGCTACTGTAGCCTAATGCAGTTTATATAGGCTATATGTTAACAAATGCGCAAAGCCGCACGTAATTTTGGCAAAGAGTCAGATCCAATGCAGCGCGCACACACACACACACACCACACAACACACACACACCACACACACACACACACACACACACACACACACACACACACACATCATATCATGCTGATTCCAGTGAGTGTGTGTGTGCTGCTGCAGCAGCAGCAGCAGCAGCGCTATAGTGCATGTGAACCTTCACCCACTTCCAGCACATTGGGTTCTCACGCTTCTCAGCACTATATAAGGCTGCAATAACCGCGGCTACATAACCCACGTCTTCACGGTAAGTGCTATATGCTGTTTGTATTTTTCTCTCATTTCTCATCAAATTTAAATAACGAAAATGAAACATGGTAGCTGCATTCTATGTAATAAACGGAAGTTCGCGTGCATCATGTTTGACTAATGAAAGAAAGATCATAGCGTTGTTGTGTTTATTAGGCTACGCGTCAAACTCGTGACTTCCTAATGGCCCGTGCAATATGAATGAATAGTGCCTGTAGGGTAGACCTTTTGTCAGTTGATCCACTGTTCATTTGCTAAAGAGCGCTATAAAGAGGATGTGGGGTAAAATACCCGGAAATAACAAAGGCAGAAAAATATTTAGCTATCAACTCTAAATAAAGACAATAAATTTTCAAGTTGGTTTGATTTCTGTTCCATGGCAACTATAATGTTTGTGTGTGTGTACGTGCTGTCGTAACGCTGGAGCCAATGTGTTTGTTTGCAGGGGAATGGAGTGGTGACCTTTCACCCACTTCCGTATTCCCTGAGACATGTAGGTCACATGAGCTAAGGTGCTTGCACATTACATAACCAATGCTCAAATATCTGTTTAAGATATACTGAACATATTTTTTATTATATTTATTTTATCATGGACCCACAAATGTGATTATTGCATTGCTGCCTGATGTATAAATGGGTCTGTATAAAATCCCATTCATAATGTGTGAGGAAAAGGGTAAACATTATATAACAAAGATAAAATATTATTTTTAAAGGCAAAAATACTTACTTTATATTAAAATAACTGTAACCACAGCTGTCAACAGAATAAAAATAATTTGGGATTAATGGATTTACAACGCTCATAATTTGACATTCTAAATTGACATAAAACTATTTATTGTTTGTATTATTGTTTAGGTTATGAAACGCTGCTCAAAGATAGCCTTGAGTGTTTCTTTTAAGTGGTCCACATGAAAGAGTTAAATTCTTTACTAGTGCAAGTAAAGGTGAAGTGCAGATTTGAGTAAGTCATAATTTGATCAGTGTGGCAGTGCTAAAGTCATTAAGTCACCATATCTCGTCATCAAGTCACCTTGGCTCCCATTAATCTTGGTTTCTTTGATGTTTATTTTAGTGTTGTCAAAGATAAGCGCCCTGACAGCTATTCAGATGAGTCAGATTTGGATGATGTAATCATAGTAATCTTTCATCAAGAGCTGGCTCGGCTTTTGGACAGTCAGACTAACTGCACAATAAACTGCCAGTCACCTGGCTTCTGTTTACATTTATTTTTCTATTTAAACGGTAAATGGACTGCATTTTTATATAGCGCTTTCACAGAGCAAATGGCCATCAAAGCAATTTACATGTTGGTTTTATTTGGTAGTATTTACTGTTCATATGTTTTGGGCCAATAAGATGTTTACAGTAATGGCCGTAAGACCTTTATAATGTTACAAGGAAATAATGTTTTACATAATTGCTGTTTTACTTTCTAATCATTAAAAAAAACTGAATTTTAAATTGAAGTACTATTTCACAAAACTTCTGTATATTTGATCAAATACTGTAAATGTAGCCTTGATGAACTTCAGAGACTGCTTTCAAAACATGATTCTTAAGAATACTTTGACACACCTGTGCATAAATCATATTCATTGTTTACAGCAGTACATTCTTCTGTGGTGAATCACTATTGGGTACAAGAGGATTATGAAAGGGTGCGGATGTTTTATGAACTCATTAACCTCATACTTTCTGTGTCCTCAGACTAGCAGCAGCAACTCACGGATCAGGATGTTGTCCTCTCTTACCCGCTGGTTGTCCAGAAGTGCTTTCCAGGCTCTTAAAGGGACACACAGTCGTCCTCAACTGATCAAGATGCCTCATATTGGGAATCAGACATTGGCGGCGGCTCCTCTGCCCTTAACTGGGGGGAGTCTCGGAGTGAGGCAGGCCCGGGCACTGGATCAGGAGAGAATACTCCAGATTGATTGGGATGATGGGAGTTGTAGTTTGTATCCGTTCACCTGGCTGAGGGACAACTGCCAATGCCCTCTCTGCACGCTGCAGTCAGCGCAAGCACGCAGGCTGCTGATGTCAGATCTGGACGTGCACACCGGAATGAACCAAGTACAGCTGATGGACAATAAGGTTGGTCTTGGTGAGCAAAGCTTAAAAGGTTAGTTCACCCAAAAATGAAAATTCTGTCAGTAATTACTCACCCTAATGTTGTTCCAACCCCGTAAGACTTTCGTTCATCCTCGGAACACAAATTAAGATATTTTTGATGAAATCTGAGAGCTGGATCACTCCTCCATAGGCTTCTATGCAATTGAAACTTTTCGGCCCAGAAAAGTTATGAGTAATTACTGACAGAATTTTCATTTATTGGGTGAACTAACCCTTTAAAAGGATAATTCATCCTAAATAGAAATGTGTTATCATATTTAGTATGTAATTTCAAATGGGAATGAAGATGTTCTGCTGAATATTCTGTGAAAAGATGTTGTGCAGAATTTCCACACTGCTCTTTTGAATATAATGAAAGTGGTTGGGGACTGAAGCTGCTGCATTCAATAAACAGAAAATAAAGGTAGTCCTTATTTGTGTTGTTTTCCAGGTTTTTCAAGTGCTTTTATGTCATTTTTGAAGCTTGATATTCATTTAAGTAGGAAACAAAATTAGTGTGAGTAAATGAGAACATTGAGATAGCCCAGATAGCTCTTAAGTTAAAGGTTATTTTACACTAAGATAAAAATGGTTCTTTTAACAACTGATCACTTAAAGGTTATCAAGGAACCCAAAATGGTTCTTCTATGGCATAATTGCGAAAAAAAAAAACAAAAAAAAACCTTATGGAGCCTTTATTTTTATGTATGCTGATCTTTTCAATCAAGTTTAAATATGAGCCATAGTTAGTCCTTAAACATGTTTTTATGAAACCCATTGTAGGTGTCCATAACTTGGCCTGATCAGCACAGTAGTGAGTTTGATCCTGACTGGCTGAAGAAACGGTGTTTTTCCTCTGAGGCAAGACAGACTCTGCAAGAGGAGCTCTTCCTTAATGGTGAGTTCATCATTATCTGTTTGTCTTGTTACCTTAATCTTTGTATTAGCCATCTCCATTCACCTACACTACAGTATATACATATCTAATCTTTCTATGGTTTATAATGTATGGCCATTATTATTTTTTTATATACCAGATTTAAGTTTATTTACTTTTCTGATTAGCAATACTAGGATTAAATTGGTGCAGAAAAAATATTAAAAAAAACAAGATACAGATACAAATACTCATTTAAGTAATAACAGAAATATAGAAACTTGCTCAGGAATACAATATGGATTCGCATACATATATAAATACTCACACACAGAGATGCTTCATACATAAGGGAAGTATTTTCTATAGCAACTAATAAAACGGTTAGTTCCGATCATTGATTGGTCAATACCTGTACATAATTCATTTTAAAACACGGCTATGTCCGCTTGACCCAACGGTTCTATTTATCACTGCACAACATTGCTGTTCCTCTGTTTTTTTATTTGAGCTTTCATGCATATTACACATTGGACCGCTGTTGCTGTTCACGGTCAGGGACTATTTTTCTTCTAGCGGAAGGAAGGCTTTTAGTGATTTTACGTCAGGAAAGTTGCACTAATGCATTTTTTTTTTTTATTCGGCCTGCATACAGTATACAGGCCGAATTAAAATTTTTTTTTTATTAGTCTGACTTCTGATGACATTCTATTAAGGCACACTTACAAATAACAAATTTGTTTAATGCTTTCATTTTCATGTTTTTGATTTAGACAACAATTTTTAGGATAGCTTCATATAAGTTGAAATACAGACTCATGTAGGCTAATATCTGTGCATTATTTGAATTAATATGTGTCACGAGTGGTCTGGACCGCAGTTAATTTTGTAGTGTGCAGACATGTCTCTCCAGACATGTCCAACCCTGAATGGAAAGACTTTTTCCACTTCCTGCCACATGGAATAGAGATTTAAGGCCATTTGACAAGAGTGAGCTGTTGTGCTTCTACACCGCTCTTGATGGATGCTATGGTTGAAGCAGCCTGAGCAATGTGTCTGCCAGAACAAGCATCCTGCACATATTTGCATGTCTTGAGATTTTAAGATTAGATTTTCCAAAATGAATCCATGTCATTGGGGCTTTGAAACTGATTCTGCTCACCGCAAATGTTCTTTAGTTTTACAGATCTTACAGTTGTTTTCAACCTTGTGATTTTTCTCTCTAAAGTTTAGGAAATTATGCTGCTGTTTAGTTTAAAGGCACAAAAGGCATGCCCCCTAAAACAGTGAAAGACAACCAATAAATTTCCACGGTTTAAAGCATAGATCACATGTGTCTGTTTCTTGCTGAGGTGTACACTGTAAAACACACAAGGTTTGCATGTGTTTAACAAAGCTCCTTAACTGGCACAATAATATGACGGTTCTGCCACTTGTTTTAAGACCTTCCATATAAACTTGCTTCAATCTGCCTGTAAAAGCACACACCTTGCTATAATATATCTGTCTCGAGCAGTAATCTGGCATTATCCATTTCCTGACAGGTTAGCAGCAGTTGTAGATATATAAATTTATAAATAATGTATATATTTGGGGTCAGATTTCATGATGTTTTTTTAAAAAAAGTCTCAGTATATGCATTATGTACCATAAGAGGTTGGAGAGAATATGTAATTAGGCTCATTAATAATGTCATTATGATAAAGCTTTTCGATTATTGTTTCTAGCTTTTAACCATTTTCTTTTTTTTTCTCTGTTTCCTGAAAGTATACAGCTCACAGTAGGATTTTTATGCCCCAGTGAACTGAATTACTTAATGGAGTTTTCTAGTTTAGTATCCCATTTCCAAGAGGGCTCGAGCGTGCTTTATTGCGTTTACACACCATGTCCTGGTTCAGATGACATCATGCATGCCATGACATCATGATCCTTCGGAGCACCAAGACCACATTGTTCTCATCTTCAAAATAGCCAAACCATCACATTGCTGCATTAGATAAAAAACAGTTCATCCTTCCCACACAGAAAAAGACCACACTGATACAGACCAAAGATTAAGATGACTTAAAGAACAGTTGAAGTAGTTCAAAACCTTCATTTTCCAAATGGTTTCTGGAAAACTAATCGCTTGACTCAAATGGGGTGTCTTACTTAATTTATCTGAGAAGCGCATAGGAACTGAAGCTCATAGCTATTCAAATCATATAAATCTATTTTCCAAACCCTGTTTGAAAATGATTACTGTAAGTGGTTTGTACTCTGGTTGTGAGCTCCTGTTCTTAGTGAACTCTGCTCTGTGCTGAGCTCTCAGTAGGGACTCTGTTGACTGAGTGTGACTGGACATAACGGTCTGCCAGCAGCCGCCACGGCTTCACGTTTACCAGCTGGAAAACTCACAGAGGCAATGCTGATGGAAACTGTTCAGACACACATAAGCTGACACCTTTCTTTTCCTGCTTGCCTTTGTGTGCATAAATGTGTTTCCGTCTGTTTTAGAGACTGAAAGGGTCATTGAAATATAATGTCAATTTTTATTAAAGTGTCTCAGAGGCACCAGCTGGACAAAATGATAACATAAAATTTAATCTTGGCTGGCTCTGAAATACTATGGTTTCCTGGCAGGGTTGATGTCGACTTCAAAGATTATTGAGCATTACACGCTTATAAGGGCTGAACATTACTGACCTGGATAAACTGAACCACTTCACCCTGGGCCCAGTTCCCAGCTCTCTCTCTCTCTCTCTCTCTCTCTCTCTCTCTCTCTCTCTCTCTCTCTCTCTCTCTCTCTCTCTCTCATTCCAGGGTCTTAGTATTAGAGCCTTATATAAGTTAATAGAATAGACAGTTCAAATTGTTCAAACAGTATTGATTTGAAATGAAAGACATTTACAATTTTACATGAGATTTCCATGTTACTAATCAATTTAATGCATTTAAAAAGCTGATAAAAGCTGATTTTTTTTGCTGATTTTTATTTATGTTGTTGTTGGTCCTATTGTCTCTGAAGTCTCTACTGTGACAATGTATCCAGTGGAACAGTTTTCTAAATTGGGAGAATCTAAAAAGGATGTGAGAGGCTGAAAAATACTACTTCCACTGCATAAGGGTCCAGTGAATTACAGGCATAATGCGCTTGCAATGCTCACACATGCACACTTCTCTAGAGGCCGTCTGTGGAAGTAGACATAAGAACCAGAGTTTTCCAGCAGTTTTCCTTCTCAGTCAAACATGGAGGCCCTCACACAGTGTTCTGACCAATGTGTTCTGGCCTCAACCCTGACACACACACACACACACACACACACACTCACAATACTTCATTGTGTGGAGAAAGACACTATGGTTATATAGGAAGTGTGAAGTTTCTATCGTGTTTATTTGCATTGTAAATGAGGGTGCTTGGAGAACGAGTAACAGAGATGGGAAAGACATAGAAACATGTTTAACTTGGAAAAGATTTGAGCTACTTTGAGTAATGCTGACATCATTCCCTCATCCTAAGGTAGACTTGAGTCATTTTGACTGCTTTGTAATTTGCCACTGAACCTTCTAATGTAGAATTTCCCAAATGGAGATTCGTGGAGGAACTGTAAGAGGTTTGTGAGTTGATGAAAAGCAAATTATTAATCAAATCATAGAAATATAAAATTATGAAAATACAAAATACATTTTATGTATATATGTATTTACTATTATATGTATTTAATACAGTGCAGACCTTTTAGATAAATATTATAGTAACAGGCAGGCCGGCTGACAGTCTTGCCTGGGCCTGGGATGAGATACATTTTATGTACATATGCATTTACATTGTAAAAAATACTGTTGGTTTAACTTAAAAAAAATAGTAACCTGGTTGTCTGGAAAACTGGAAAAAAGTGAGTTAATACAATGAAGGAGATTGATTTAATCATCAGAAACTCAACTAAATAAATTTAAAAAAAAGTTGATTTGACAAAAGAAAAAATGTTGTGATAACAAATCTTGGAAATATTTTTTTACTGTGGCATGTCATGTGACTATTAACCGACTTGAGAAAAACTTTGATCATGCAATTGTGTTTTTACATTATTTAAATGTATCTTCTCTGTTTTAAACATTTTAGTTAATGGGCTTGAGAATCCATGTTATGGTGTAATGATTGTAGTTCTGGACCTCGGTTTTCCAGGAGTGGAAAACTTTCAACTAGTTCAGTCTAAGAGGCTGGTTTCCGTGACAGAACGTTGAATTAAATGAAAGTAAATGAAAGGGTCATTCTAGACGCTAAGTTGTGTAATGCGTTGTGATGAATGTGTTTTTAGAGCGTGAGTACTGGGATTCTGGTCTGCAGATCCCCACAGCAGACTTCCAGGAGGTTCTACATGATGACAAGGCTGCTCTGGCCTGGCTTGAGGCTCTGCGACGCATTGGCATCGTCTACCTGAGGGGGGCTCCAGTGGAGAAGGGCCAAGTGGCCAGACTGAGCCAGAGAATCGGCTATCTACGCCTCACCTTTTACGGGTATGTTCTGTAGCATTGGCTGTTCTCAAGAAGCAGTGCAATGTCTATATTTAGATTGATTTAACAATTGGAGTATTGAGCAAAGACACAAACAGAAGTTGCAAATACAGTGCAGACCTTTTAGATAAATATTATAGTAATAGGCAGTCTGACAGTCTTGCCTGGGCCCGGGATGAGCTAGCCCCCCCAAACTCTTAAACCAGCAACAGTTTTACATCAAGCTGCGACTTATCTTTTAAATTGACAAACATCATATGTGTAATTCAGGGCACAATTCAAAAGAGAATAAAAATATTTGTTGTCTCTTGCCACAGACTACCATACAATATTTTTCCGAAATAAGGTCCCATGGTAGTCAATCGGAAGGGGAGGGACTTAGGCTTTCTTCTTTTTTCTTTCCTTTTTTGAGCACCGGACTTGTGCTGACCGGACATTTTGAGCATAGTACTGAAAACATCAAATTTTGCTGTGGTCACACTATTTTTGTGTTGATTAGGAAGAAAACCAATAAAAAGCTTTTATCTAACTCAAATATTACATTTTTTTTCACAAATAGGCCTATTTTGATTCATTAAAAAAATTATTTATGATTTAATGAGGGCCCAGTTGTTTTGCTCCCTGAAAAAAAAAAAAACAAAAAACAAAAACATCTTGGTGGTTCTTTGACTGCCTATTTGTATAGTGCAAATGTATGTAATCTGTCACTGGAAACTATATGAAAAAGAATTATGCGCATTCCAAACAGTGGTTGCAGGCAGTACAGTACAGTACCATTTCAGAAACTGTTAAACTGATTTTGAACATCTGTGACTGTGTTTACACCAAAAACTGGGCAAAACTGCCAATTATGCCAGAACTGTCATTCTCACTCCAAGATCTACAAAGAAAGCCAAATAACCTGCTGCAAAGGGCACAACCCATCAGTCATGGAAAATGAAATATGGTGTAAGTAATGTGGTCTGATCTTTCACCTTAATGCTTTACATCTGGACAGTTTTATAATTGAAGGAAATGAAAAAGTCCCTCAACCCACAATGTCTGTTGAAAACGTGGTAGGGGGTCTGTAGTGGTGTGGGCACCCATCTCTTTAGGTATGAGGATTCTTTCCAACGGCCAAGGAATACAAGGCCATTTAAAGGACCTGGGCTGCGTCCCAAATCCCATACTCTCTTGAGCAGGTACTTATTTTGAATTAGTTATAATTTCATGACAGCTAAAAAAAGTATGTTCTATATAGTTTGATTATGTGTAGTATGAATGTAATCTAGCAGTGTTACATTCGCGAGGTTCGCTATAAATCGCTTTACTGTCATTCACAAATCCTCTCCCCTGGCCTCATGGGATAGTAAAGTGCACATCAAAGGCACACTTCAGAATCTCGCCAAAAGTAGTTGGTCATCAAGGTACTTTTGCCTACTCCTTAACTGTATACGTATTGTGAATTCACACATATTACTTTTGTCACATAGTGTTTTTCACATTTCTGTTTTCTGTTTCAGGAGCCCTGGTGTTTTGGGGGCTGGTAGTTTGTAGAAATGAAATAATTATTAAAATATAATTACAATGTAAAATAATACATTTCTATTTTAATATAACATATATTGAAATATAATTTAATCCTATGTCAGTTAAACCTGTTCCATTTTCTCTAGATTTACTGGAAGATGAGAAGTGAGCCCAAAGTCAAACCATTTTAAACCAATACAATTCTGATTTATTTTTCTTGCCAGACAACAAAGCCTTTCATTAGAACTTACAGAGACAAAAATATTCAGGGAGGAAGAGTGTATGGAAATCACTGCCTGGGACAGACAGACAGAGGATTTAGAGAGAACAGAAAGAGACACGCCGTGAGCTTCTGGCTGTAAGCACAAAGTCCTGCATGTGAGCTCCCTCTCAGCTGACACCTGCTAAGTGACAGGCTAAGTGATTTAACGCCATGCTAGTCCCAGGAGCTCTGTCAAACTGGCCAAAAATCAGCTTCACCTGACCCAGACTGGAACAAAAAGCATTGTATCTGCCAAATAAAGACTTTATTGGCTAGGGATCATCTGGTTGAAAGAGGAGAGCATGGTGTGTCTCACATGGAGGATTCTGGTCTTACAGTCTTAACTATCTTAGTGAGACTACTAATCTGTCTCATTTCAGTTTAAAAAAGCCAAACTACTGCACCTCTCTTCCACGATTCCAGTTCCTTTCTGTTGTTTTCAGTTTGATAACAGGACAAAATTGATCTTTTATGTAGGTCCTATATTTCTCTATAGGTTTGTGCTAACAGTCAAATAGTTGAGTCAAACAGTCAAATTTCAAATAGTGTCTCGTTAGGGGCTGAATCAGTCTGTTAGTTCTGCTCTAGATGAGCAAACTTAATACAATAACTACTGTAACATCATTTCATAATCTAAATGTGCTTTTTTTTATTATTTGAGTACTATAGAGTACAGAGAAAAATGTGTTGTCTCTCATATGGTACACTATTTTTTTGATTATTTAATAAGGGACAATACATATTTAATTATACATAATATGTAAAATGTGACAAAAATTATATAACTATGCACTTACAGTACTGCACTTCTAAGGATATTTTGTCCTCCAGCTTCACAACCCCTCCCTTTCTGTTACATAATTAGTTAATGAAGTGTCCAACATTCCACACTTCATTTTTTTTTATTAAACTTTTCAGTTAAATAAGTGCATCCGGGTATAGAATATAAAAAGTAAAATTTTTCATACCTCATTGAACTTTTTAAAGCATAAATCTAACAATTTAGGCTTAAAACAAGAAAAACAACTTGTCATTGGGGGAAATAGTAAAAAATAATATATATATATATATACATATTAGATTTATTTTATGAAAATAAGTTTTATTATCTTAACACAGTGTAAATGTAAATGTAACATTGTTACATTTATTTAACTTAAACTTAAACTTTTTTTTTTCAGTGAGCAGGTTCATCAAGAATTCACCACCAAAAAAAAAAGTTCTCGCAGTGTTGCCATAACAAAAGTGTCTGCTTTGTTCATTGCAGTGATTCCTTAGTCTTTAAATTTACTCTCAAGATGGTACTAAATCAAGAAAGCATTTTACAGCTGTGGTTTCCTACAATAAATACACAGAGAGATGCAGTAAAACTTTACAAGGTCATAGTCACCTGTTGTGATCCACTGTCCCCCCCTGTGATTTCACAGACACACGTGGCAAGTGCAGGACAAGCCCAAGGCTAACAATGTTGCGTACACTTCTGGAGAGCTGAGTCTGCACACAGATTACCCTGCTCTGCACCATCCACCTGGGGTGAGTACTTGTGTGTGTGTGTGTGTGTGTGTGTGTGTGTGTGTGTGTGTGTGTGTGTGTGTGTGTGTAAAAGAGAGAGAGAGAGAGAGAGAGAGAGAGAGAGTTTTGAGTTTTTCACAACAACTTTATTTGATCCTCAGAACTTCATATCATAGCTTTTATATTAATATCAATAATTACATTTCTGTCATAAATCACTCCAAATCCACTCCAAAATACTTATTCCAATGCTAAAGCAAAAACCACCATTCCTTCCACAACTGTGCAAATAGCTTCGTTATATCCCCACCTTTGCAAAAAAGCTTCATAATCATTAACCAACTTATAAAACTTAAAGTCAATCAGAACCCGACTTTTCACCAAATTTTTAAAAACCATCTCAACTTTTTGCCCTACTATACCTTCTAACCTCTTTTTCCTTGAGATATAAATAGCTCTTTTAGCTTGTCCAATCAAGAAATTTAGCAGTTGACATTTACTTCTTTGTGCCACCCTATAGCGTGGGCCGAGAATAAAGCTTTGAGTGGAGAAATTTTCACCAAAATTTAAAAACATTAATTTAAGTCTACTAAACAAATTCTTCAACCTTGAACATTCTAAAAAGCAGTGAAAAATCGTTTCCCTTATTTTACAGAAAGGGCATTCATCATATACATTAGAACTAATAGTATTCACAAAAGCATTTACAGCAACTGTGCCGTGCAATATTTTCCACTGAAGATCACCTGTGGATTTTTCTAACTGATTTATACAGTATTCTCCATACAGGTTTTACATCATCTTCCAACCCCAGTTTTTCTCTCCACACTGTATCCTTTCGTTCCTTGACTATAGAACAGACTTGTTTTATTTAACACCTTTACACAGCATTTATATAACACTTTACTTCGAACCTCTTGAAAGTTCAAATTCTCCAGACTTTCCAAATCTAACAAGAAACCATTTAAGCCTTTTAAATCAGGAGTAATTAAAATGATTGGAAATGGATCTGAAAAAATAGAAGCCACTCTACCGTTATAGTAATCTTTCAATAATGTTTTTTCTTCTACTGTAAACCTGTGTAATAATAAATCTAAAAATTTTCCAACCTGTCGTACAGATTGAACTCTCAAATGAGAGGCCACAGCTTGAGAATTACTCAGTTCAGGACCACCAATGTCCATTAAGTTGCTTAATTTTAATGTTTTGGATGAGCACAATATATGAGATAATCCTGGTGTGACTTCACAAGCCACATCCAACCTCGCTCCATGAACAAGAGGTTCCTCGAGCAGCCAGTACAGAGATGTTGTGTGTTGCCTCTGTTTTCTAAAAAGTTGCCAGACATTGAAAAGTCCTTTGTAGAAATGATTCGACATGTTAAACTGTAGTTTGCTGAAGTCTGTTAAAAATAGTCCTGAGTTCAAGTTTAATCCACTTGCTTGATTGAAGATAATATCCGCTACTTTCCTCCAGACCAACTCCACTGGTCCCGTCAAGTATCTCTGTATAAACAACAGTCGAAAAGCCGCTCTTCTGCTGGCCAGATGTATGAGTCCTTGTCCACCCTTCTCCGTGGGCAGAAAAAGTACACTCTGGGCTATCCAGTGAAAACCATTCCAGAAAAAGTCCACTATGATGGCTTGTAATTTTGCCAAAAGCCCCACAGGAGGATCAATACAAGTCAAACGGTGCCATAACATTGATGCAACCAAATTATTAATAACTATAACTCTCCCCCTAAATGACATCTTCGGCAAAAGCCACTTCCATTTTTCAAATTTTCCTTTTACTTTTTCTAAAATGCCATCCCAATTTTTTTGTAATACAGATTCGTTCCCAAGATAAACACCCAGATATCTTATGCCATCACTTTTCCAGGACAAGCCTCCTGGTAATTTAGGAGGCCCACCATCCCATTCACCACACACCAATGCCTCACTTTTAGACCAATTTACTTTGGCTGACGAATTAATGCCAAATTCATCAATACTTTTCTTTAACACCATTATGTCATTTTGATCTTTAATCATAACAATAATATCATCAGCATAAGCTGATACTTTTACTTTTTCACCTGAATGTGGTATAGACCACCATCCTTCAATACTGTTTCTAATTTTTACCAGCAGAGATTCAATAGCCAAGGCATACAACATTCCTGATAATGCACATCCCTGCCTGATCCCTCTTTTGACTTTAAAAGGTGCACACAAACTCCCATTTATTTTCAGCACACTCTCAATGTCCTGGTACAAAACCCTGATCATAGCAATAAAACCTGAGCTGAACCCAAACTCCTCCAGTGTATGCCAGAGATAGCCGTGCTCAACCCGATCAAACGCCTTTTCCTGATCTATTGAAATAAGACCAGTATTTAAACTCAATAACCTAGAGACTTCCAAAATATCTCGAATTAAAAATATGTTATCAAAAATAGACCTATTAGGTACACAGTATGTTTGATCATGATGAATGACCCTTCCAACTACCTCCCTCAGTCTTATTGCCAAAACTTTAGATAACATTTTTAAATCAGTGCACAGAAGTGAAACGGGTCGCCAATTCTTTATTTCCTTTATATCTCCCTTCTTTGGCAGCAGAGTTATGACTGCCCTTCTGCAGCTCAACGGTAGCAAGCCATCAGCCAGACTCTCATTGCAAATCATCTCCTATTACTGACCAAAACTTCTTATAAAAGTCGATGGGGAGACCATCTATTCCAGGTGCCCTGCCACATTCCATGCTCTGCAGTGCAATCTGCAATTCTCCTGTGGAAATGGGCTTCTGAAGTTCATCATTAACTTCATCTGGCACTTTCGGCAACCCAGAATCAAAAGAATTGACTAGCTCGTCCACTTCTGGGCTCTCACTCCTGTACAACTCTGAATAAAAAGACACCGCCCTTCTTCTACTTTCCTTAGGCTCTGTTATGTCTGTTCCAGTTGTTGAATATAACGAGTGAATATATCGACTTTGACCATTCTTTTTTTCTAGACCAAAGAAGAACTTAGGTTCATCCATCATTTCAATGCTCTGAAATCGAGAGCGGACCAACGCACCCTGTGCTCTAACACCTAATAGCTCATCTAACATCTTTCTTTTGGATTTGAGGAGCTCGCTATGCCCTTGATTTCCTGTGGATGCTGCTGAGTTTTGCAGGCCCACAATTTCAATCTCTAGGTTTCTCATTGACCGGGAAATTTCCCTGGAAACATTGAGTGTGTACTGCCGGCACAGCTGCTGTATTTCCACTTTACCATAATCCCAAAAATCTTAAAATCTCCTCCCATAAACATATACTCTTCTTGTTCAAAACTAGATAGAGCATCACTCAATTTTTGTATAAAATAAACCCTCTCAGGACCATGAACAGGAGCATAAATATTTACAAAAACTAAAACAAACTTTTCAAATTTTACTCTGACTTTCAATAGTTGCCCTTCTACAATGTGTTCAACCTCATATGATATAGGTTTTATGTGTTTTTGAAAAAGAACAGCTACCCCACCACTAGATGAATTTTTATGGCTTAAAATAACTTCGCCATCCCATTCCATTTTCCACTCTCTCTCATTCTTAACATCACTATGGGTTTCCTGAACCATCATCACATCATATTTCTTTTGTCTTATTAGTTCATACAGCATTGTTCTCTTCCCACTTTCTCGTGCACCATTTATATTGAGAGTGCCCAGTCTTAGCGTACTCATAGATGAATGAATAAAAACCAAAAAAGGGCAAAACAACCAAAAAAAGAACACAAGAAAAATAAAAAAAAATCATTCTGTTTCAAATTCATCGTTCAGTATATTCATTTTCAGTTTTTGCACAATTTTTTTCAATCTGTAGATTTCTTGATCAGTAAAGGTACTTGCACCCTTCTCTTTCATTGACATTTTAGCTGAATAAATGAACAGTTCTCGATCTGGGAAATAATCTTCCACTCTCACTCCTTTCATTCCTTTAGTTGTTTGTAAGAATTTTCTAATTTTCTCAAGTGTATAATCACTTCTAGCAGATCTTTTTTGATAGACTGAATTCGCAGACCCTGAAGAATCACCTCCACTTTCTGAGGCGGACTGAGCCTCGTCATTATTGCTCGTATCTGACTCCATCTGAATCCCAGAATTTTCAACATCTTTCCTGATAATTCATCTCCCGTATCTTTCCTAACTCTCTTCCCATTGCCTTTTTTCTTTAATTTCCGTTTTATTGCAGGTGTTTTAAAAACACTTTCATCCTCTATCAATTCCATGTCTTCTGCTCCTTCTATTGCAACTAAGTTAGACTCAGTTACTTCACACTCTTTTAAAGTACTTATTTCTCCACCATCACTCACAACATCTTCCAAGTTTTCCTTGCCAATTCCTCCATTACTATTTCCTTCATCCCTTTCCGTGCTAACCCTTGATCCTTCGCCGGGTTCTGGCTGTCTCTGCACTTCACTTCTACCTACATTTGTCTGCTCCTTATTCCTGTTCTCATTCAGAGATACTACTGAGTCACCCTTCTCAGGACAAGCACGAATTATATGTCCCTCCTGTCCACACCCAAAGCACTTCATATTTTCTGAAGTTGCATAAATCACATAATCATAGTTATCCACCTTAAATTTCATGGCTAAACTTAGCTCTTCATTTTCATTTTTTAGAATCATGTGCGTCTGTCTTCTAAATGAAACCACATGTTTCAGCTGAGGTGATTTAACGTTACAGCCTAACGCAATCTTCCTGATTTTAGACACAATTTTACCATGTCTCATTAATTCCCTTTCGATCACGTCATCTCTGATAAATGGCGGTACATTTGAAAGCGTAATCCTTCTAGCCGGCTGAACCAAAGGCATTACCGGGGTAAACACACTGTTGATGACAATCCCTTTTACTACAACGTCATTGACTTTCTCTACACTATTCAAAAAAAATCACGACGGCACTGTTCATTCTGGCTGCAGACAAAATACTAGAGTAGCCAACAACTTCAGCGACTGCAATGGTGCAATTCTCAACAGAACAACGTTCCGCGGGGATGACTTTAATGCCATGTTTCCGCGTTAAGTCATCCAAACTTTGCTCAACTTGCTCAACAATATTCTTGGCAATAAAATGATTCACACCAATAAACCGCAAAAGATAGAAAAAGGTAGAAAAACTCACTCATTCAACAGCGTTCTCTTTCACCCACGCGCGCTAGCTCCCCCCATTCACTCGCAACATCCGCTCAGAGAGAGAGAGAGAGAGAGAGAGAGAGTGAGAGAGAGTGTGTGTGTGAGAGAGAGAGAGAGAGAGAGAGAGAGAGAGAGAGAGAGAGAGAGAGAGAGAGAGAGAGAGAGAGAGAGTGTGCGCGCGCGTGTGTATGCAGAGATGCATATGCAGTGTATATGTGTGTATATAAAAATTGGGACACTTTTTGGTAAAAAATACAAATGTGTATTAAATACAAATAAATATAATAATACATTTATATATATATATATAGGCCTAAGTTTTCATGTAAATTTGGACGATGCAATTGGTAAGAAAAAGAAAAATATTTTTTTCAAAATGTTAAAGAATAACATCATTAAACACACACTGGCGGATTGAGTTCATGATGATGATGTCATGCACAACTCTGGGCTCCTTTTTCAAAATGTCTTGGAACCAGTAATAACCTGGTTTGTTGTTTTGTTCACAAAACCATTTATTTCCATTAGGTTTTGCATATTTAAAAGCTTTTCTGGCACATCGTTACAAAAGAAGCTTTAGCACGTTTGCTAGTTCCTTGATTGTTTGTCCCTTTCATACTTTCTTCACTCCACTGATAGGCTACCTCTCCTGTTTAGCTGACATGTTTTCCGTATTTTTTTTCCTTTCTGGCTATAGCTTTGTGACATTTTCTGCAAAAAACAAACAAACAAAAAAACATTTCTTTTATAGGATGTCCCACTTTAGCAGAATGCTACTGTCCCATTTTATCTAACACTTTGAGGTAAATTGGGACTGTAACAAAACTTGATATTAAAATATATATATACAATCGTTGCATAAAATGTAATTATCACATGAATAGATGAAATAAAAATGTATATTGTATATTGAGATACTGTTTGCATTAGAAATGAAAACCTAACAATTTTATTACACTTAAACTATGTATGGGTACTTAACATGTGCTTTCTCAGACATTCCAGCACTTGAGTAGGAACCACATCCGCATGCTGTATGGTTCATATTTGACCAAACAAATTTCAGATTTTGTAATGTTGACATTTCAAGACCACCCAGCATTATCGCACTTTTTTTTAAAAGAACTACTCCAAAGAGCTTATTTGTCTCATTTTAGCTGATGTCCAACTTTTGCTGACTTCACCCTATATGAGTGTGTGTGTTTTTATTTATATATGTAGATTTATATATGTGTGTGTGTGTGTGTAGGTGCAGTTCCTGCATTGCGTCTGTCAGGCTGAAGAGGGTGGTGAGAGTGAAGTGGTTGATGGGTTTCACATGGCGGAGCAACTCCGGAGAGAAGATCCTGAAGCGTTTAACATCCTCTCCTCTCTCAGGGTCGATTTCACAGACAGCGGATCTGACTACTGTGACTTCAGCGTGCAGTCCAAAAACCACATTATAGAGTAAGACAGACTGTGACGCATACATACTCACTCACATAATAATGCAATGGATTAGCTTTGCCACTTGTAATCATCATCATCATTAACTATACATCAATAATATACTAAACAGCACCATCTCATGGACAGTTATGCAACTGTGACTATACAAATGGATATTTAAAGGGATAGTCCATTTAAAAAAAATCATCCACTCTTGTATGAGTTGCTTTCTACAGTGTAACACAGAATTGTACTGGTTGATTTTTTATAAACGACACCAAGACACTGTAAAGTTCCCAGAAATCCTACAGACGACCTGACAGCTGGGTGAACATAACACACTCGACGTGCTGCAGAAATATGCGCATGCCCTCCAGAGGGAGGGGTTGATGTTAATGTGTGGGTTAGTGACGTACCATAACCCAGCTGTAGTCCCAATCGAGTCATTTTTGTAGGCAATATACTTCCTGATTTTTAAAGGACGATATCTCTGCTTACACTGACCTTTCAGCGCTGCAACTTTGCAGATACTGTTCATGCACCAACAGCAACATTACACACTATTTAAAATGAAAAAAAGTGAAATCGCAATCAACCCCCCCCTTTAATACAAAAATGTCTGTAACGTGCAGTGTGGACTCTGATGGTCGGGTTGTGAGGATCAACTATAACAACGCCACAAGAGACTCTGTGCTGGATCTGCCTCTGCATCAGGTTCAGCTTTTCTACTCGTCTCTAAAGGCCTTTGTGGAGCTGCTCAGCAGGCCTGAGAATGTGTTCACATACAGAATGGAACCAGGTCAGTGCGTCTGTTTACCTACGTATTTTCAGATGGTTGCATTTGTACAATAGTTGACAAAGATTAAGCTTTCCTCTACATTAGAAGGCTTTTGAATTTGGGACTGGACTCAGTCTGTGTTTTCCATTTAAAATCCAATGCCAAGGTTTTCAAAAACATTTACTAGAATTATTCCAAATTTGAAGTACTTCAAATCCATAAAGCTTCCCCATTGCCGCTATACTTACTAAACCAAATATGACAACATTAGAATTGAAACTCTTTTTGCACGTCCAAATAAGAGACTGATGCTGGATGTTCATTTGATCTCTGCGCAGGTGACTTGGTGACCTTTGATAACTGGCGTCTGCTGCATGGCCGAAAGAGCTACCTGTCACGAGGGCAGAACTCAAGACATCTAGAAGGAGCATATCTGGACTGGGATGAGGTCATGTCCCGTCTCAGGGTCCTCCGGAAGACTGTCCGTGGAGAAAGCTAGACATCTCTTTCATTAGTAACTTTAAAAACAACTCGAGAAAGCTTTAAAAAAGTTTTGGATCCCTAGGGATATTTTCTGTTCATTTAAGTTTTGCCAAGTAGGCTTCTGTAGTTGATATTGTGGCCTTTTACTGAGGGGCTCTTTGAGTCTCCAGCACTTTCTTGCGTATACAGTACATCTTGCACATACAGTGCTTGGAAAGGACAGACTTGTGCTTGACTTGTAATTTTTTTGATAAGGGACAAATTTTTCCAGAGGTCTTATTAAGAATCGTATTAAATTAATGATCACAAGAGTCAGTGAAGTTTTGTTAAGAACTAAATATCTCGCTTCTCTGTGGACAACTGCCTGAAGTATCGTATTAGATACTGGGTTTATTCCAATCCACCAATGTTTTTGTCATTCATATGGTCCATGCTATAAAAAGTGACAACTCGAAGTACGAGATGGCATCAACAGAGCTAAAAAAGAAAGTTTTATCCAATCTCTGATTATGTCTTACATTTTGTCTTATCGTTCTAATGGTAAAGACTATCATACCGTCATGATTTATGGCACTGTTTAAATGCAGTCATTTTAATATATATTGATTTTTACCAATATTGTTTATATTCTGCTTGTTTTGCACTTAATTTTACTGTAGATTATTGAACCATTTTTATTTCTTGTATTATATTGTAAATTGAACAACGATGGGCCATTGACCTTTGAGAAAAATGTTTTCAAGTGGCACAAAAATATTTACAAGCTGATGTCTAAAACAAAGTATCTCTGTTTTGATATATGGATATCGGATAGTTTATTCAAATATGATCAGTACTTGTGTATACTGATTGCCATGTGCAGTAGACATTAAGCTATTTTGATACTTGAAAATCCTCAAATATTACGTTTTTAAAGAAAACTGGCCAGTGTGTAAATGCAGCAACAATGCAAATATAACTCATGCAGCTATTAGTTTATAAAACTGTTGGAGCTGACGTGTTACATGTATTGTTTTGGCAAATCTTTATTATATTTTTTTTTTCCAAAATGACAATAAAATACATTTATAATATACCTATACATAAGGCATTCATGTACTTATACAAATACTGTGGCTATAAATCTTCTGATTATACCAGAGGTCAGTTTTTGGATGTTGCTAATCAAGAGGTTTTTGATAAAAAAAATAAAATAAAAAAATAACATTTGAAAATGAACTCTAAAATGTAAAACAGTGATTCAGTTATGATTCTATCAGTATTTATTTATAACATTACATTTGTGTTTTGATGTTGATTTTTTTAGTTAAATTGAAGGATTTGACATTAATTGAAATTTAAATGCTCCTGAAAATCAATTCTAGGAGGCAAATATCCATTAATATATATATACATAAAAAGTGAGTATGTGATACTGTTGAAAGCTTGTATAATAAACTGTAATTCTCACAGTAAAATGACCTTCAGTCACAGATTTGGGTTGGACATCTTTTATTTTCATATTGCGAAAGCTGTACAGGTTCTATAAATATTTTTAAATGCTGAAATATTTACATCCATGTCTCTATTCATTCCTTTCCCTCTGATTCTAAACAATACAGACTAAAATGAAAGCCCAAATAATGTGCAATTGTAGATCTCACTCACACTTTCAAACAACAGACCTGATACACTGTCCACCTCAAAACATCTGTTTTGGAGACTTGGACTCTGGGAAATCAGTTTTGTGCTATTTACATCTCTAAATCATTAATGAGTGGGCTTTTCAATTGCATTTACAGTCTGCATTCAACAACGGAACTGAATGGAGTCACAAAACAACAGCTTTTTTGTGCACATTCATACACGTGAATGATTAAAAATGTGAGCAAAACATAAAAGAATATTAAAATATGTGAATGTGACGGCTGTACTGCCCAATCTAGTAGTCAAGAAGAGATGACCAGAGAAAATTTGCCCCTCTAAGAACAGACAAACTCTCTTTGTCATATGTGTTTCTAACACAAACACACACAAACAGAAAGAGGACACTTCAAACAGGACATTTTGGACAAGACTTTTCCAACAATCTCCAAATGTAGCTGTCCTCTAGATCAATAATGCCATTTTCATTGCTGTCAAAAAACGGCAACAAACTAACAGAAAACATAGAAGCGATGCCGGTCACCTCATTATGAACACTGGAGGACAGTGGATGAACTCTATAAGGACGTGACTGGACTTGTTCTTGGTACGCACTAGTGAGAGTATTGCACATCTAGAAAACAAACTACAGTTTTTCATAAACATTTCTGTTGCTTTTTCAGCATTGCTTCAGGGATGTACAGATATCTTCCTTTTTTAAATATTCATTATTTTCAAGTGACATGCATTTTAACACAGCAGTTCACAGACAGGGAACTTTACAGCAGAAATAGCACAGTAGTTTGAGCCTCACGTGGCAAGAGCTAAAGAGATACACTTATAGCAGTTAAAGGAGGGAGAAACGGACATTTAGGAATGGGACGGAGGGTTAAGGCAAACCCCTCATACGTGGCAGCGCAAGATTGGAAAGACTTGAACATTTCACCCACAACAGACAGTACAGACTGGAATTTACAGTACAACTTCGCACATAAATATTAAATACACAGCCTGTTGACTTATATCAGCCTGATCTCTGCATGCCAGTGCCAACTCGCAAGAGCAGCGCATGGGACGTGCATTCAACCAAATGCCTCCGATTGCAATAAATAAAACTGTATAAATGGGGGGAGGGGGGCGCCAACCAATAGTATTCAAAGTCTATTCTTGTTCTGGTTGGTCCATACTATGAGAATGAAACGCCAGCATTTTAGTGTCGGACTGGAATACTATATCGGGTACGTCACAAGATCTATTATATGAATGGGTCGTTTCTTTTAGGACAGATGCGTTGAAAATGTGAATTGGTACAGGAGCAGAGGTCCTGAAAGGAGCATGGCAAGAGTGTCAGCTTGTATTGAACAGTTGTATTGCAGGAGTTCAGGAGCGGGCTGAAGTAAACGTAGGAGAGAAATGTGCTAGCTCGGTAGTGGACGAGGGGACAGCATCTTGGGCTTGCCCTCTGACTCTTTCCCTTTGACCGCCGCCATGTAGGAGAAGAGGCAGAGCACCGAGTAACAGATCTGATTTGCCTGTTTGAGACAGAAGAGTTAACACAGGGTTATTTACGTGAAAAAGGGGGGGGGAAGTATATCACTCTATACTGTATTGTAGGGCTAGGCAAAAACACGGATTTCCCTGTTCTTTTCAGTGAATCAAAGACATCCAGGTCGACCAGTGTATTCCCGCAACTGAGATATGGAGAAAAAAGCCTTGAGGGGAACTAGTCACCTGATGGAGTTTGGGTTCTTTGCCAGTGTCGCTTTTGGCTTGCATAGTTGGGGTTTAAAAGACACTTAATAATCAGTAATATTATCGATTTAACTGCACTGACTAACTTGAACTGAATTGAGCTGGACTTACTATGTATTTTTCAACCTTTATAATATATTACCAAAACCCTTGAGATGGTACAGCGACTTAACAATAGGTTAAATGACATGTTTGCCAGAGCTTGACAGTGTCTGTATCGCTTTTACTGGCACTATGTAACTTCGGGTTTTCGGGAAGGAACCCGAGCACAAAAAGAACCAAAACGGCATACGTCACTTCCCCCGCCACCCACAACTTCCTACGATTCTGACGTGAGAACTCAACTCGCGTTTGATTGCCGTCTGTATGTTTTCATCTTGACCGAACCAATAGCTACAAGGAAGAAGGCAAAGGTTTTGTCAGAGGACACAAAAAAAAAGAAAAAGGGAGAGTGACAAATTAAAAGCCCGGATGAGGATCAACATTGGTCCAGCGTTCGCTCGCTGGCGTGAGCTAAAGGAGGAGGAGGGGTGCCCGACCGATGCTGACCTGGGCGTCATGTTTTTGGACTAGTAAGTTAAATATAGTGCTAGAACACTATCTCTATTTTTTTTCATCTCAAATTTGTTGTCTGCCAGCCCTACTGTGCATAGTATTGTATGAATACTGAAATCTTACCATGGGAGTCTTGTACTTATGGATCACCACTTCTTTAGTTTCAGGAACTGCAAATCCCGTGCAAGAAACAAAATGAAAAGTTCAACAGCAGTGGAATAACAAATTTGAATTATTCAAGGGCAAGGGGCGGAAACAGAGAGAAAGAGAGAGAGAGAGAGAGAGGAGGGGAGGCATACATACAGAACGATACGGCCCATGACAAATGATTATCAGTCTATATCTGGCCCTGCCACATTTCAGACAGAGCAAGAGCGCACTGAATTTTACAGCAGAAGAGCAGCACTCATATAGTTCATATGACTGAACAGGATTTATCATCAGCTGAGAAACTCTTATGCAATGGGGAACTGAATCAAGGCAGGCTCAAGAGGAGAAAGAAAGAGTGAGAGAGGTGGAGGATAGATGGAGAAATCCAAGAGAGAGAGAGAGTAAGAGAGGGAATTTCATTGCAAGTTGAAGTCGGAAGGAAATCCGAGGTCTGCTGGGTTTTTCCATCACTGGCATGACTTTTACTACAGGCATGAGTGTATGAACTCGAGTTTAGAAGCGACATCTGACATGAAGGCAGTGCAGTGCAGATGAGGAGTCGACAGCCATAAGTGGTGAAAGAGGGTGTATGAGAGATGATGACAGATGGAGAGTTAAATGAGGACAGGTGAGGGAAGAGAAGAAGAAAAGATAAAGGTGACAGCACTTTACCTGCTGGAGAATGAAGGTTTTCATAGCAGCAAAGATGAGGGGCGGATTACAAAAAGGAAGCACAAAGACACAGCAATAACCCAGTCTAGAGCCGACCCTATGGCTACAGAAGAGATTTCATACACTACAACTCCCTTCATATAGATCTCCAAAAGAACCAGTTAAATGATCTTTGCACCGTTTAGTCATTATCTAAAGTCTACCAAGACTTCTATTCTGAAGACTATGACAAACATTAAAGCCATACTGTGACTCCTTCCAAAAGATGCATCTGAGGAAACAACTGCAATCTAAATCTATGCTGATCATTGAATTATTCTCAGAACAACTTGAACTGTGTATTATTTCTCAAAGCCGCTGCTGTCGTTTAAGATTTTTGCAGAATCCTTTACCCCTTCCTCCAGGCCTGGTCAAATCAGTGTGTTGTCTTGATATCTTGTTTTAGCTAATAAAAAGAGTATTAGTTAAGGCTAAAGAATGGTTTCTTTTTAAAACCAACAAGATGTTATTAAAATCATATAGTATTTGAACAAGTAAATGAAAATTTATACTACATGATAATGTACATAGTAATCCCTAAAATCATTGATTTTAGTTTTTAGAGTATGAAAAAGAGGAAATGAACAACTAAATACACAACAACTGACAGATAAATAATGATAATAAAAAAATAATATTGGTATATTGTGCTGGTAATGAACATGTTTTCATGATTGATCATTAATAGGCCTGAATAGTTGTCGTCTCAGTCAGTCAATGGAAATGGTTTTGGGTCCAGAAGGGGGACAGGATTCTGCGGGCTTATAGGATCTTGCACCTTTTAGGCATCACATTTTATGTAACATTTCATCCCAGAAGGTGCATAAATGAAGCAACAGCTAAAACTGTGATCCTACTTCTATAACCTCTGCTCCTGAAGCTCATACATGTCGTTCTGACCGCCAAATCTAACAGTACTGAACGTGACAACTTCTCTGCTCTGCATGTGACTGAGTTACTGCTGTGTCGCGTACAGGCCTAGAATCAAAATGGGGGTAATTACCAAACTCCTCCAGGACAAAGACTCCTTTCACTGTATTGCACTTTTTAATGTGACTCAGCTCTATGAAAACCTAAAAACAAACAAAAAAAACAAACAAAAAAACAAACAGGACACCTGTTACCAACTCAATCACACACTTGTGAGAAAACAAAACAAAAACAGTATTTTTTGAAGAGATGACAATCTGGACAGTTAGTAACTGCAAAAATAGGGAGAAACGGAAGAAAGAACATGATAAGCGAGCTGTTAAAAAAAACTATCAAAACTAAAATATGACTGCACAGAAAGAGAAATTTCCATGTTGACAGGTTTACATGGGCCAGTGACGCAAATGGAGAGAGCTGTGAAAGTTTCAACACCTGAGCGGGCATTTATGGGTCTGTTTATTTTCTAGAGAGTTATAATAAACCCAGATATACAGTATATTTTGTCATTTTGAAATTGTATTAAATTAATCGAGAGTCTCGCTTTAAAGAGAATCACTTTGTATTTACAATACTTGTCTACAATACTTCGTATAACGTGTTCTTGAGGCACTGGAGACTTGTATACCAAATGCATTTTGAAGCACTAAAGAGCTAATATGAACCTGCTGCTGTTAAACATTCACACTAAAAGTAGGAATGAAATCATGGCACTGATCCCCTACGTGCTGAAAGGGCCCATGCAAAGACATCCATGGAAAATTCCATCAGAAAAAAAAAAAAAAAAAGACATGACACAGACTAAAAAAAGGAACCAAAAAGAGAGAAAATAATACAAAAAAGACAACAAAAAAAAGCACACAAGAGTGACGTCTGCCAGAAACGCTACAGAACAAGGAAAAGAATGAAAAAGTAAATGACAATGTTACGCTAAAAGGCAGATTGCAGAGGTTGTGTACCTTCCGCTCCTTGCAGGGGGAGAGAGCATGGGAGAGAAACGGTTT